TTGGCGGGCCCGGGCTGGATTCGAACCCGCCAACTTAGGTGTATGTGGCTGGCGCCTTAGCCGCTTGAGCCTGAGGCGCCAAGCTTCATCAGCTTTCCTATCATACTAATGTCCTTTTTCTGTTCTGGGGTCCATGCTGTGATACCTTCCACATTGGATTTAGTGATCATATCCTTATTCTCCTCAGGTCTGTGAAGTTTCAGTCTTGCTTTGTTTTTCTCACCCATGATAGTTTTCAAGAGTACTGATTGGGTGTTTTACTCAGTTGTCTTCAATTTAGATTTCCCTGATGTTTTCCTTGTGTTTAGTCTGGCATTAGGGGTTTTTGGAAAAAAGACCATAAGGTGAAGTGGCCCTTGCCTCACATCCTATGTGTGCGATACATGATGTGAACATGGTTTATTATTGGTGATGTTAAATACCTGGATCACTCAGTTAAAGTAGTGTGATGGTTAATTTTATGTGTCAACTTGACTGGGCCGCAGAGTGCCCAGATAGCTGGTTGGATGTTATTTCTGGGAGTTTCTGTGAGCATGTTTCCAGAAGAGATTAGCACTTGAATGGGTGGATGGGTAAAGCAGGTGGCCCTATCTGGTGTGAGTGGGCTTCATCCTGCCCATTGAAGGCCTGAATAGCACAAAAAGGCAGAGGAAGGTTGGATTTGCTCTCAGCCTAGGACATTGAGCTGGGACATTGATCTTGTACCCTCAGTGCTCCTTGGTGTTCTTTGTTCTCAGGGCTTTGGCTTTCCTGGGGCTCCAGCTTGCACATGGCAGATTGGGGTGGCTTCTTAGCCTCAGTAATTGCATGACCCCTTTTCTTACGTTGTTTTATTATACCCATGTATATCTGCGTATCTCCACTTGGTTCTGTTTCTCTGGAGAACCCTGAGTAACACAGGTAGTATCTGCCACATTTCTCCATTATAAAGTTATTTTTCTCTTTTCATATTCTGTTCTTGGAAAGCAAGTCACTGAGTTCAGCCTACAAATAATGCTTCTCAGTGCTTACATGGGAAGCACTGGCTCCCCTGAGTATTGGTGGGAGTATAGCCTTTCCAAAATGCTATTTTTGTAATATATTTCAAGAACCCAATTCTTTGACTCAGGTGTTGCACTCATATGATTCCATCCCATGGAAATAATCAAACATCCATGGGAATATGTACACTCATGTATGTTCATTGTAGTGTTATTTGTAATATGAAAAAACTTCTCAGTAATGTTATGGTTAAATTATGATGTATGGAAGGATAAGATGTTATATATTCATTTAAAGTCACGCTTTTCGGAATAATTGACTTGCATTTTGAGAAATGGTTCAAAACTTAAAATTAAGCAAATAATTCATAATGTAACCTATATACAGTAGTATACTTCCAATTTTGTTTTTAAAGGTTATATATGCATGTATGCACATTTCAAAATGTGTAGTGTAGTTATGGTGGGTAATGGAATTACAGGTGATTTTTTTCCTTCTGTGTACTTTTCTGTACACATATTTGCTAAAATTTTTATAATATGACTATTTTATCATGAAGAAAATTCTTTTAAAAAGATCTTTTTTACTGATGATAACCTAAGTAAGGCAAAAAATTGGAAACTTCACCTGATATCAGATTGTATATTTTAAATAGATAAAGCATGGAATTTTTGGTTCATTTCACATAAACCGAGGTTGATTTTGCCATGAAGCTAATGACACATTATCTCTTGGGCCCCTCTGTTGCACTGGCCCCTTCTGTGGTCTTGGGGAGGGTCCTAGTGATATGTGCATATATATTTCCCTAAATTTGTCAAAGTAAGGTATTAACCCCATAAAAGTTGCTGTGTCCTTCCCCTCTGACTCTTCTCCCCCACACATCTTTGATTCTTATTACTGCTGTAACAAATTGCCACAGATTTCATGGCTTTAAACAGCACAGATTTATTATTATCTGACGGTTCTGTAGGTTATAAGTCAGAAAATGGGTTTTATGGGGCTAAAATGAAGCTGTCAAGATTCTTTCTGGAGGCTCCCAGGGAGAATTGTACCTCGTGTTTCCCAGCTTCTAGAGTCCACCTGCATTCCTTGCCTGTGTCCCCCTTCCACGCTGACCCCTGATCCTGTTATCACAGCTCCTTCTTCTGCCTTCCTCCTCTTCTTAAAAGGTTTCTGTGATTACTTTGGACCCATCAATAACTCAAGATAATCTCCCCATCTCAAGATTCTTTTTTTCTTATTGCTTAATGAATATGTTTATTGTTTTAAATCAAGAAATACTCATATAAAATTGGTTGGTTTAGCTTTCAGCAGCTCACTCCTGAGCTCTAAGGAAGCTTGCCTTCTTTTGAGCTACCTGATCTTTCTTCTGGGCAAGGGATATTTTGGGGCGGTTCCATCTCTTCTTTTTAACTTCTCTCTTGGGGGGGCTTCTCATAGACTGGGTTATCTCATATAGCCGCATAAGCTTTCTTATATATCTCCTCCATCATGTCAGGAGTGACGTTCTTTATGTATTGAGAGAACTGTTTTTTGTAAGCATCTTCATCTTCTTCCATTAGGTAACACATATAATCTGCAACATTCTGTCCCATGATTTGCTTCCAGTGTACTTCAGCATTAAATTCCTTGCTTTCAGAATCATAACCAGGGAATTGTTTGGTACTGTGAGGGATGGAGAAGCCTCTATCCACATCTCCCTTCAGGGCTCCAAAAACTTTATTGCCACTGGTAGTCCTGGCAAGGCCTGCATCCAAATAGCATGTAAAAGCACCAGGCTGGCCATCGATGCTTTCCACATTGTATTCATCGCCAGTCAACTCCACTTGGCCTTCATAGATCTTGTCCATGCCAAACCCATTGAGAAGCCTGTGTGCCAGCAGCAGGCCAGTACAGTATGCTGCAGCATAATTTGTCAGGCCAACTTTCACACCGTGTTTTGGTAGTTCGTGTGCATAAGCTGCACAGACTATCATGTCCCCTTCTATATGGGCATAAGCAATCTGACAAATGATGTCTCTTGTTAGTCACATGGACTATCATTCTATATTTGGGTGTGTTGTACTTATTTTTATCCTCTATCACCAAGCATTTCCGAGCATAGTAATCAGTTTTACCCTCTTGTCGTCTTCTAAGTTTCACTTGGTATCTGTTAAAGTAGGCCTTATTCTTGACGACTTTAACAAACCCCATCCCATCCTACAGAATAGAGACCCGCGTCCACGGCCCCCCACAAACTTGCAGGCCCAGCCTTGCTAGGGCTCATCTCAAGATTTTTTTTTTTTTTTTTTTTTTTGAGACAGAGCCTCAAGCTATCCCCCTGGGTAAAGTGCCGTGGCATCATAGCTCACAGCAACCTCCAACTCCTGGGCTCAAGCAAGTCTCCTGCCTCTGCCTCCCAAGTAGCTGGGACCACAGGCACCCCCCACAACGCCCGGCTATTTCTTGGCTGCAGCCATCATTGTTGTTTGGCGGGGCCGGGCTGGATTTGAACCCACCACCTTAGGTGTACGTGGCTGGCACATTAGCCACTTGAGCTACAGGCACTGAGCCTTCCTATCAATAGAAAATAGAATCAACCATTAGAGGAAATATTAAATTATCTATTCTCTCTGTAGAAAATGATATTATAAAAATGTTGTCATGGCTCAGCACCTGTGGTTCAAGTGGCTGAGGCGCCAGCCACATACACCTAAGGTGGTGGGTTCGAATCCAGCCCAGGCCCACCAAACAACAATGATGGCTGCAACCAAAAAAAATAGCCAGACGTTGTGGCAGGCACCTGTAGTCCCAGCTACTTGGGAGGCTGAGGCAGGAAACTCGCTTGAGCGCAGGAGTTGGAGGTTGCTGTGAGCTGTGATG